ATATATATATATATATATATATAAAATCACATACTAATAAAGTTCAAAGAACGTTATTAAGGTTGCCAAAAAAATAAAAATAAATATCAAGCAGTCAAAGAATTTACCACCCATCCAGCAGCTGTTCATTGACTTTTGTGGACCAATCTCAGGCCTTTTCAAAGCCTCCTGTCACAAGTGGCAACAGGGCAGGTTGCAATCTGAACAGAGGTGCCAACTACTTAGAGCGCATGGAGAATGAACTAATCTTCTTAACTCCTACGGGGTCCCTCCAGAAAAAGGGTAAGATGAGGGATACACTTACACTGTTGCTACCAGAGATGTACCTATTCTTTGAGTGAGAGATCTTCAGACCAGCACCTTTAATGAAAAGTATGTTCACTTGGAAAAAAAAAAGTGAAATTATCTTCCATTGTAATATGACAGATAGAAAATTGGATGCTGACACCATACACTAATTTAGTATACAGATACAAGATCAACATTGTCATATGAACTGACTGCTCATGTTAACGTTCAAAGCAGCCTTTCTATTGATCAAAATCCATTGAATGCAGTGTTTAAAAGTAAAGATATTGTCTTTTTTTAAACCTTCCTAGGAACTTTGCTTTCATTGATGGGTTTTGTCATGACTGCAATGTCATTGCACTGTCAAGCGGGCTCCAAACAGACTAATTGACCGTGCTTGTCAGGCTGATAGGAAGACAATGTCTTTGCCCTGAAGAGTAGCACACTGACTAGCAAGTGTGTGCGCACATGTCCATTTGGGGCAGGAAGCTAGAGAAGAATGGACAGCAATGTGAATGGATTACAAAATTAAAGGTGCAACTTATTTTTTTTTTAAATGTGCACACAATTTACAGTGAATTGGGGGAACAAGGAATGGGATGGAATTGGTAGGCTTCCTTGCAGAAGTTCATGTTCTTTGGGACTGGAAAGAGGAAAAAGTTGGGGCATGTGAGACCAGGGATGAATGGGGGGAGGGATGGGGCCAGCTAGATTGGATGGACACAGAGCCCTTTACCTGCTTCCCCCTGAAATTAATGGGAGTTTTGCTATTGATGTATGCCCTGATCCTGCAATGAGCTCTGTGCAAAACGGACCTCTAAACATCAATAGGGCTCAAAGATCCATATGTACAGAGGGCTCTGGGGCTCCACTGGGAGTAACACTGGACCCATGGAGCACTGCACATGGTTTGGGAAGAAGCTGGAGGAGGGGAGGGGATGGGGCATGAAAGAGAGTAAGGAAAAAAGTGAAGAGATAGGCAGGAGCCAGGCTGTCCCCTTAGTGTTATTATTTCTGGCAATTAGGACCAAGGACATTTTGAACTTTCCTTTTCATCCTCATCTCCCTTTAAAAAAAAGAATGAATAAGATTTCTTGAAATGACTCTCTTTTGGGGACCAAGTTCCATTTTCTCCTGCCCTATGGTCAGGGTTATAATCTAAACAAATTAGAATGGAAATCACATATTGCCTGAACATCAGACTGCCAAAAGAGAGAGGAGAGAGAGAGAGAGACACAGATATGCAGCCAAATATGCGTCAAGGTCCTTGAGCCATTTGATGACCTGCTCTGTAGTTTGATCTCATTAGCATTTCCTTGAACTGAAGATGTTAATGTATACTGGGTCCTTTTAAAGGGAACTTACAGATATTCATCTACAGGGAAAACCCATTTTCCCCTACCAAGAAATACATATAATAACCCAAACTACCTGAACTTTTGTTGAAAAAGTGTCACTTCTTTGAGCTGTTGGTTTATGAAGGTCTGTCCTCACTCTGTAAGTATGTGCTCAGCAGAATCTACTATAAATTGCAGCCAGTCAAAATAAAGCATTAACAATAAATCTAAGAGCATAAAACTGCACATAAGAATCAATTGAGTACAGCTCAGCCCTTAGCTGAATACCAAAACCATTAAATTAATCTGTAGTTTTATATCATAGTAATCTAAAAAACAAATTATGTTTTAAACGGCTTGTACACAAGAGAACTTTAGTTGTTTCCACCTGTGGTATTCCCATGTTGCAGCATTTTTTCTTTCTGTCATTATGAGGCATGTTACAATGTAAGGCTTGCACAACTTAATCTGTCTATTGGCAATAAGTATCAAGATGCCCATTTCCTTCTAGAAATAAAAACTATATTCAACACACCACAGAACCTGGAGTGGCTAATTATGGTATTAACCCAGAGTATCCTTAGTTGAAGAAGGTCCCGTTTTCCCAATTAATCACTTCAAGAGGAACTTTTAGAAACCAATCAAAAAAGCCCAGAGCAACTTGATCATATAGCGTGCATATGAACATCCTATAGCCTCAGAACAGTTGTGGACTTGTAAAACTTTTGGAAAAGATATACAACATACGCATAAGGCAAAAGTAGGCATTTTTTCATCTGACACTGAAGAAAAACAAGTCCTAATGGGTGGAGAAACATCATCCCTATGCTATTTAGTTCTAGGCCATTAAATGTCAATATCAATGCCGGCAAGAGATTCACACATTGCCAATTGTTTACCATGATGCAATTAATAGCAGCTATCCTATCTTTTCTGTTTCAGAACTGCTTTAAACTAAGGGTCTTCCGTACTTTTCCAAGCCTAGCAACACAGGGGAACCAATCCTAATCTTTTCTGCTAGCAGGATACTCACCAGACTAGTTAACCCAAGTCACTTGGCAAAAACATTCTTATTCAAATTAAAGAAATCTTTGGGTTAACAATTCAAGTGTGCACATGTGTTCACTGAACATCTACATATTTAAGCTTCAGACACTCACAGCTATGGATAAATCAAACATGCATTAAGAGGATCTGAGTGAAAGCTTATTTCTTTGTGTTGATAACCTTGAGTTTTTACACAGGTAATAGGAGATGCAGTTTCTTCACAACCCATAATAAAAATATAACACTATTATAGAATAGTGTCTGTGCTTCTCTTTTGCAACAAAATCTGAGACAAATTAACTAGTTTTCCGCTCCTGCCCCCCCAGCACATGTAAAATTTACACAGCATCATGATAGGGGCATTTCAGCTTCTAAATGGGTTGAGGCTCCCTGTGTTACTTATGAGAAATTTGTTCATACATCCAAGACATAACTGTTTACCACTATGAACTCAGCTTAAAGTGACATAAATAGGAGTTGGTGTCACACTGTTGTACAACGTGAAACAGTGATTTCTCTCCAGCCATAGACACCCATTTCACACTGCTAATATGCTAGACTTCTTGAAGTCACAACGAATATAATTATCCTAAATTGTATTGACAGTTTTTCTGAACAAGAGTCTTCAAAATACGTCAGTCGCCCAAACCTTTCTGGGATATTTATGAAGGAGCAAAGAACATCAGTCGACGGAGGGCAAAAACAAACATTAATGTTTGCAATAACAAACCTGACTAAGAGAAAGCTTAACGTACAGGTGCTAACCAGCAGTCTATTTTATTCAAATAGGCCAACATAAAAGAGTCCGATCACTTACTTCCATGCTATAGATGAGTCCAGAAATTAGTTATTTAAGGATTTACTTTAAAAAAAACCCAAAGGGTGATTTGATATTTAAAGAGGAAATGATTTAAAAAAAAATGTTAAAAAGAGAGGAAAAAATTGAAGGCAAGAGTAAAATACATGAAGTCACAGAAAAATCTTGAGCACAAAACTTCACAAACATTTGCTATATGTCATCATAATTTGGTCCACCATCACATTAATGACATTAATGACAGCAAGTTTATTCATTCAGCTTGGATAGGGATCAATAAAAAAAACACTTTCAAATGAATACCTGAACTATACAATCTATTACCCAAAGCACGTTCATGGGAAATACCATCAAGACAAAGAAAAGACAGTTTAGAATATTACTAACTTTACCACAAGTGTAAAGAAAATTGATTAGCCAGAACTAGCAAAAGCTAAAAGAAAAAAAAGATATAGATTTAAAATACAATTATGTCTAAATCTTTTCACAGTAAAATGATCTGTGCGGTGCAAGCCATTGTATTCATTTTTTAAAAAATAAAAAGCTACATGAGGTTTTGGACTCTCAATGAACACATTCCACCCATTTTTTTCCTCAGAGATCTCAGTTTTTAGGTACTAGCAAAACTATAGAAAAAACCTAAAGACATGTAGATGTTTACAATAATGTAGGAAGATCAAAAGAGCAGGGAACAGGGTCAAAGGGTCTTCATGTTAGAGTAAGAAATAGAGAAAAAAGATGCAACCTTTAAGTCTCTCTGAGAACAATTTAAGATGCTAAAAATGAATTTATCATAATTATTAAATTTAGCTTGGTAGCAATAATGAGAAGGAACAAGTGATACATTTGATTGAAATCACAACCACCAAAACATAACACCTCACTTTCTTCTCCTTTAAATCAACCAGTGATCTATTTTTTTTTTAAAAGGTGTTTTTTGGTGAATGTGTTCAACTGTGCCCTGGCCCCCCGAGAGCACTGAAGGAGTTCTTTACAAAACAACAACTTTGATTTATTCAAGTAAACATCAGAAACACTTTGGCAAACACGACCATATGGATGGGAAAGAGATATAATGGATTTTCTGTTTGCCTTAGAAACTCAACAGCTGTGAAAGCATCAGCTATGTTATGAGCCAATAACTTTTCATCTTTCAATCCTTTTCATTTATCAACCCAAACCCAATTTAATTTGATGATGTAAAAAGCTTGGGGGGGGGGGGGACAGAATGAATAATCTTTCAGAACCTTAAAATAGAAACACTTTAATATTCATCTTTCACATCATAAATTTAGAGAACAAGGAAACACACATCTGCTGTAACTTAGTTTTAGAGCCTAAAAACATGGAGCAAAGATATCCGAATTCTTTCGATCTTGTTTATATTTGGGGGCAGGTTTTTTTTATCCTAATCAGCCACCAGCAGCCCTGATGACCCACCACCACAAACTTCCTGGAGGGATTAGTTCAGAACTACTTACCTTCACAAAGGAGGAGAAAACCTACTATCCACCCAGTGAAAGGCATCTTTACCCCTCCAATAATCCTATTTTCCCCCCTAGGGTCTAGATGCTGAGAGTACTCCCGGCCAGGCTATTTTCAAGTAATTACAATAAGCTTTCCAGTAAATTGAGAAAGTCTTTTTAGCACGTAATTCCTCAGTCGGGCTGACCCATAGTCTGGGGCTTCTCAGCTCTGTGCTCACTCTCTCTGTTAAGTGCGGTGATATAATGATGCTAGGGAAAGGGAGGGGGAGACACACAGAGGGAGAGAGAGATTGCAGTGAACCTGCTCAGATGGTGCTGGGCTGTTCTCTCTCAACCTCCCGGTGGTGGTAGCTCTGCTTAACCAGATGCTGCCTGCATTTAGCTGGGCAGATTTTAATGTCCTGCTTCCAGAGTTGCCTCTTCTCCCCTGACTGGGAGAATTGACAAACTCTTATCTCGTGGTGCCTTGGGCTGAAATGAAGACCTGGATCTCCTGTTCAGCCACTGACTTAAAGAGAGGCCAAGAACCAGGCTCTGGTAAGTTTCTTTCCTCCAGGGGGACACGATGAGAAACAGCCACTGATTGTGTTGCCTCTGGATGTCCAGGCTATTGATCCTCCAGAGAGCCACTAAACTTTCAGCGGGAGGGTATGTCCTGCAGAACACGATGCTTAACACTCTCCACCATGCTCTAATAAATTTGTTAGTCTCTAAGGTGCCACAAGTCCTCCTACTCTCCACCGGCTGCCGGATCTTCACCAGTGGCAGGAGGTGGCTTTTCTTCTTAGCCAGAGCCCGGCTGGTTGGGGTTTGATTGCGTGCCCATCAGCCTCGTGTAGGCGAGTCGGTACTGGAGGAGCTGCAGCCTGGGGTCGGCTGGGCTGGGTGAGCCGGGATTTCGCAGCTGGAAGTTGCAGAAAGGGTTTGCTTGGTCCTGGTGGTCGGTGGAGCTGCCGATTTCCTAATGAGCCTGCTGGTGCAGGCAGGGCTTTGTCCCCTGGCGGTAGAGCTGTGAATCACTCAGCCCCAGCAGCAAATGGACTGCCTGCTCTTCCCCACTTAATGAATAAATTGCAGCCGGCGGGGAGGAGTGTGAAAGCGACACGGGGGGTTGGAGGGGAAGAGAGATCTCAAGGAGAGGCTGTTTTATCAGATCCACCCACAGCATCCTCTGGGCAGAGGAGAGGGGACGGGGGAAAGAGGAGAGAGAGAGGGTGACCAGATGTCCCGATTTTATAGGGACAGTCCCGATTTGGGTTATATGGACACTTATTACCCCCCACCCCTTCCCGATTTTTCACACTTGCTATTTGGTCACCCTAGAGAGGGACAGGGGCTCTGTCTTGCCAAAAAAAAAAAAAAAAAAAAAAAAGACTGTCAGAGGGGGAAAGTTCTTAGGGCTGGTCGTAGGGGGGGGGCGGGTCGTTAGTGATAGAAGAAAAACAAAAAGGGATCGAAAGAGAGGAGCCGATAGCTGCAAGGTACGTAAGGCGGGTTCAAAGGGGCTCGCTAGTGCATGGCGAGTGACAGCTAACCAGCCCCAGGTGGAGTTTGGGCATCCCCTAAGCAGGGCAGTGGAGGGAGATCATAAAGGAAAGGAACTGCAGGGGATGACAAGGAAAGGGGAGGGGAGAGAACAGGGTTCGCGAAGGAAGGAAGATAAAGCAAAAGAAACTAACCAGGTGTGAGACACAAAGGAGGAACAATTCGCCTCAGCAACGCGAAGGTGATGAAAATAGTGAATTAAAAGAAGCCCCCCCTCCCCCCAATACATTAAAGGTGTTGAATAATTAATCCTTGGGAGAGGAGATATTTTTGCTTGATGGCAGGAGGATGCTGTTAGAGGCGATCTCTACCTGGCAAGCGACCAAAGTAACCCAGAACGCGCTCATCCTGTTTATTAGTGAAAAGCCACTTTTCAACCACAAGTGAAGACCCTTTAACAACATATTAGCCTGCTCAGCAAAGCAGTCAGTGCTCAGCTGGGCCGCTCAGCTACTGCAAACAAAACGCCGCACGGAACAGCTGAGCTCCTATTTACTGTCTGTGTTACTGCCCGACAGCACCGGGGCACCGCGCCCAAGCCCCCGTTACAGCGATTCCCGGCAGGGGACAGACTGGCAGGACTTTTCCGCTTCAGCCCCTCGCCCCAGAGTGCAGCCCCCTCAGTGATCTAGACTCGAGATTTGGGAGACAACAAACGCAATCTGATTGCAGTAATGGCTAATTTAAAACAATCTTGCCCAGGAAAGGGGTCTCTAAAATCGATTTGCAAACAGCCACGCTATTTCCGCCATCAAAGCAAGAAGGACTTTCTGGCGGTAACAGTTTCAGTAACTTCTGGTCTCAGTTTTGGGGACTGGAGGGGGAAGAGATCGGTGTACACGCGATGTGCATACACTTGTCCATTTCTTCCCCGGACGCCCATGAAGCGTTATTCAAAGTCGATTACTTTAATAATGGGGCATTTCCAACATCAAGACTGTCCAACATCGAGGTGCCTGTCAGGGAGCCGGCACTACACTTCACCAAGCAGCTGAGCCGTAATGAGAAGAAACCCGCCTGTCTCTAACCAGCATCTTACTCCTGGGGGTGGTGTAAATCCAGCAGAATACTATTAATTGTACTGTTACCAACCATCAGCATCCAGTGCCTTTCAGCTCACGGCTCGTAGATTCCCCCGCCCCTCCATTCTCTCTTGGGAAACTTACCTAACCTGCTGTGTTCTCATGCATCGTACAGCTTGCCAAGAACAATGCTAAGGGACACTGCTGCTGACTCAGATGTGACGACTACAGAACTGTCTGCCCTACCAGCAAGCTAGCATTTGCTCCAGTAATGCTTTAGCTAGCCAGGCTTCTGCAACAGTTGCCGGTTTCTCATAACCAGCTTATCAGTTGGTGATCGGATGCCTATTACCTGCTGCCTTTGCACACACCCGATTCTTCATCAGAAACATTGTGTTAATGTTTCTCCGTTCATTCTGTCTGTACATCAGGGGTGGTGGGATAACCGTAGAATATTCTGTGGTGGATGGAACTAGTTCCTTTTCACTAGTACTGGGTGAGGGGCTAGTGATAACTGATTTAACCTGGAACTTTGCCCAGCCATACTTCAAACATCTTCATTTCCCATGACTAAACAGTCAGTAAGATTTCTCTTTCACACTCTAGGTAAGAAAAGTTGACTTAACCCCCTACCCCATCCCACCCCACCCCCACCCACAAACTCCGGAACTAACAGATTAATGATAGTCCACTCCAATACGCACCTACATATAAACAATTACAATCAATTTAGCAATGGAATCCTGGTACACAATGGCAAAGATAATATGCAGAAATATTACACATTGATCTCACTTGGAAGGAACAAATCGTGGCTACTTGTTTTAACACGACCAAGTTTCTTTCATCTGATCTGCAAGGCCATTGCAATAATAATATTTCAATGTGCCCCCGAAAAAATATTCTACCTTTCTCTCAAGTATGGTAGAAAATATTCTACCTTTCTCTCAACAGTTGCATTGTTGTGAAGTGTAGGATGGGCAATAGTCAAACCTGAACCTGTAGCAAGATTAAAGAGCTGATACTTCACAACCCTGCATAACTAGAAATGGGATTTTTGTATCACTGGAAAGGAGAGCTTCCCTCTTTTCAATGAGACCAAACAAAGTGGTAGAGTACTTTATCGTGCCATTTTTATGTCTAGCAAAACTATTTTAGATTAATTATGGAATGGTCTAAACTGATATTTATCTTCCTCTGATCCCTGCATATATGGATTCAGCAACTAGGGCACCTGACTTTACAGAAGAAACTATTCCAATAAAATTAGTGAAAGCACTTCTAGTTGTTCTTTTAAATATGTGGTACATGTAGAACATATGACTTCTGGATTGGCATCGAAATCAGACATGGAATAAAAACCAACACAAACCCAGGCTCAGAAAGGGATAATAATGGAGTGGAGATCAACACTAGCCAGTTTTATAAATGAATTGAGTTTGAAGTACAGAGGGAGGGGACTTGATGAATAGTATGAGACTATAAACATAAGGGTCAATCTTGCAAAATTTAAGCTTAAGTAACTTTACTCAAATGCATAAGTCCATGAAGAACCAAGTCCTTAGAGGAGCCTGACATAATGTAGGAAACAGTGTCAGGGAAGGATACTCGTGATGTATAGAAAACAACAAACAGTTTAGCATTAAATCAATGCTTTGAGGAGAAATATTTTACCTTAAACTGAGTTTTACCTTAAATCATATTTTAAAAGCTCACACTAACACAAATCAATTCTGATATCATCAAAAATAAGGCAATAGCATCCGCACTGAAAAGTATCAATTCCCATTCAGGACACAAAGTGACTTCCTGGAAGAATTTCAATGACTTCAAATTTCTCCTGGCATCTCAACAACTGCAGCCAAATATGCATTCCTGTGCCAGATACAGGCTCCATTTCAAAGCTGGCTGCATTACAATTGGTTGTGTAATCATATTCACCGAAGAGGGCAGAGTTAAGGTTGCTGTGAGAATCTTTTCTCTGAATTCCCAGATTTCTGAATTGATTAAAATCTCATCATGAACACTGACTCAACATTCAAACCTGTTTTAACATGGAAATGGGCTGAATGACTTAACAGGCTTTGCCCATCTCTAATTTCTGGTTTATCCCCCACCCCTTGCAATCAAAGATAGAAATACCATCCAGTCCTTTATGAGTAGGTTAAATCACTTCTAGTGCAGCCAAAGTTAAAACAGGAGACTGACCCATTTTTCTGTGTACCTGATACAATTTATTTAATGAAACCATGATATGTTCCAACAATAAATATTTTCAAATGATGTTTAGCACATGTAAGTTTCATGCGTTTTTACTCTAAAACATTGTTTTGCACTGTTGTGTGATCAGAAGGACTTTCTGCAAAAGTCACATAGGTGGTTTTATTACTCAGCATTGCAACACACCTTTCAAAAAAGTTATCCCAAAACAAGAAGTGTTAAGGCTTACCATTGGTCCTCTGGGAACAGCTAACAAACCATCACATTTCACACTTTCCACAAGGTACAATTGTTAGTATAAGTGAAAGATTTCAGAGTAGCAGCCGTGTTAGTCTGTATCCACAAAAAGAACAGGAGTACTTGTGGCACCTTAGAGACTAACAAATTTATTTGAGCATAAGCTTTCGTGGGCTACAGCCCACTTCTTCAGATGCATAGAATGGAACATATATTGGGGAGATCTATATACACATACAGAGAGCATGAAAAGGTGGGTGTTGTCTTACCAACTCTGAGAGGCCAATTAAGTAAGAGAAAAAAACTTTTGAAGTGATAATCAAGATAGCCCAGTACAGACAGTTTGATAAGAAGTGTGAGAATACTTACATAGGGAGATAGATTCAATGTTTTTAATGGCTCAGCCATTCCCAGTTTCTATTCAGTCAGTGGTTTTGTTCAGTGGTGTGTGGTTGACCCCCCCAACCTGAAGCAAATACTCAACAGCAACCACACACCACTGAACAAAAACACTGACCCAGGAACCTATCCTTGCAACAAAGCCCGATGACAACTCTGTCCACATATCTATTCAAGTGACATCATCATAGGACCTAATCACATCAGCCATGCCATCAGGGGCTCGTTCACCTGCACATCTACCAATGTGATATAGGCCATCGTGTGCCAGCAATGCCCCTCTGCCATGTATATTGGCCAAACCGGACAGTCTCTACGCAAAAGAATTAATGGACACAAATCTGACATCAGGAATCATAACATTCAAAAACCAGTAGGAGAACACTTTAACCTGTCTGGTCACTCAATGACAGACCTGCGGGTGGCAATTTTGCAACAGAAAAGCTTCAAAAACAGACTCCAAGGAGAAACTGCTGAGCTCGAATTGATATGTAAACTAGATACAATCAACTTAGGCTTGAATAGAAACTGGGAATGGCTGAGCCATTACAAACATTGAATCTATCTCCCCATGTAAGTATTCTCACACTTCTTATCAAACTGTCTGTACTGGGCTATCTTGATGATCACTTCAAAAGTTTTTTTCTCTTACTTAATTGGCCTCTC